AGTGTTCTCATTTATCAAGCTCAATCAAATCACATCATTTTGCCACATTTTCTTCAGAGTTTTTTTTTTTTTAAATCAGCATTAAGAATACGATAGGAGGCTGGACATGGTGGCTCACACCTGTAATCCCAACACTTTGAGAAGCTAAGGGCGTCAGAATTGCCTGAGCCTAGGAGTTTGAGGCCAGCATAGTGAGACCTTGTCTATAACAACAACAGCAACAACAACAAAATATATATATATATATATAATTATGTATATATGTATAATTATGTGTATATATATATAATTATGTATATATATATTAGCCACATGTGGTGGCATGTGCCTGTGGTCCCAGCTATTCAGGAAGCTGAGGTAGGAGGATCACTTGAGCCCAGAAGGTCGAGGCTGCAGTGAGCTATGTTGGTGCCCCTGTACTCCAGCCTGGGTGAAGGGAGTGAGACCCTGTCTCAAAAAAAAACAAAAACAAAAACAAAAAAAAAAAACAAAGGATACAGTAGGAGTTCTTCATTCTCCTCCCCTCCGCCATGGAGGTAGTCACTGTTATGTAAATTCACTATTGCATATATCACCATTGTGTAAATTTGTGTACATCATTTACATGCATGGTTTTACTACGTATTGCTGTCCCCATAAGTAATTGCACTGCTCTTCATGTTTTTTGTTGCCCAGGCTGGAGTGTAGCGATGCGATCTTGGCTCACTACAACCTCCACTTCCCACGTTTAAGTGATTTTCCTGCCTCAGCCTCCCAAGTAACTGGAATTACAGGTGCCTGCCACCATGCATGGCTAATTTTTTGTTTTTTTAGTAGAGATGGGGTTTCACCATGTTGGCCAGGCTGGTCTTGAACTCCTGACCTCAGGTGATCCACCTACCTCAGCCTCTCAGAGTACTGGGATTACAGGCATGAGCCACTGCGCCCAGCCAGTGTCTAGTTTTCATTATAATAAACGTTACCTCAATTCTTGTTCCTGTCTCATAATACATCTCTTTAGATGGGAGCTGCAACTAATGAGAGTCTCTTTAGAATATATTCCTTTATTTGTGTGTGTGTACTTTAGGTTCTGGGATACATGTGCAGATCATGCAGTACTGTTGCATAGGTACATACATGACAATATGGTTTGCTGCCTCCATCCCTGTCACCTACATCTGGCATTTCTCCCCATGTTATCCCTTCCCAACTCCCTACCCCCCGCTGTCCCTCCCCTAGTCCCCCCAGCAGACCCCAGTGTGTGGTGCTCCCCTCCCTGTGTCCATGTGTTCTCATTGTTCAACACCCACCTATGAGTGAGAACATGTGGTGTTTGATTTTCTCTTCTTGTGTCAGTTTGCTGAGAATGGTGGTTTCCAGGTTCATCCATGTCCCTACAAAGGACATGAACTCTTCATTTTTTATGGCTGCATAGTATTCCATGGTATATATGTGCCACATTTTCCTTGTCCAGTCTATCATTGATGGGCATTTGGGTTGGTTCCAGGTCTTTGCTATGCTAAACAATGCCACAATGAACATACGTGTGCATGTGACTTTATAATAGAACAATTTATAATCCTCCAGATATATACCCAGTGGTGGGATTGGTAGGTCAAAGGGAATTTCTATTTCTAGGTCCTTGAGGAATCGCCACACTGTCTTCCACAATGGTTGAACTAATTTGCACTCCCATCAACAGTGTAAAAGTGTTCCTATTTCTCCACATCCTCTCCAGCATCTGTTGTCTCCAGATTTTTTAATGATTGCCATTCTAACTTGCATGAGATGGTATCTCAATGTAGTTTTGATTTGCATTTCTCTAATGACCATTGATGATGAGTATTTTTCATATGTTTGTTGGCCTCATATATGTCTTCTTTTGAAAAGTGTCTGTTCATGTCCTTTGCCCACTTTTGAATGGATTTGTTGTGTTTTTTTTTCTTATAAATCTGTTTTAGTTCTTAGTAGATTCTGGATATTAGCCCTTTGTCAGATGGGCAGATTGCAAACATTTTTTCCCATTCTGTTGGTTGCCAGTTCACTCTAATGATTGTTTCTTTTGCTGTACAAAAGCTCTGGAGTTTAATTAGATCCCATTTGTCTATTTTGGCTTTTGTTGCCAATGCTTTTGGTGTTTTAGTCATGACGTCCTTGCCTATGCCTATGTCCTGAATGGTTTTGCCTAGGTTTTCTTCTAGGATTTTTATGGTGTCAGGTCTTATCTTTAAGTCTTTAATCCATGTGGAGTTAATTTTAGTGTAAGGTGTCAGGAAGGGGTCCAGTTTCTGCTTTCCGCACATGGCTAGCCAGTTTTCCCAACACCATTTATTAAACAGGGAATCCTTTCCCCATTGCTTGCTTTTGTCAGGTTTATCAAAGATCAGATGTTTGTAGATGTGTGGCATTGCCTCCAAGGCCTCTGTTCTGTTCCATTGGTCTATGTCTCTGTTTTGGTACCAGTACCATGCTGTTTTGATTACTGTAACCTTGTAGTACAGTTTGAAATCAGGTAGTGTGATGCCTCCAGCTTTGTTCTTTTTGCTTAGGATTGTCGTGACTATGCGGGCACTCTTTTGGTTCCACATGAAGTTTAAGGTGGTTTTTTCCAGTTCTGTGAAGAGGGGTCACAGGTAGCCTGATGAGGATAGCATTGAATCTATAAATTACTTTGGGCAGTATGGCCATTTTCACCATATTGATTCTTCCTAACCATGAGCATGGAATGTTTTTCCATCTGTTTGTGCCCTCTTTTATTTCCTTGAGCAGTGGTTTGTAGTTCTCCTTGAAGAGGTCTTTTACATACTTTGTTAGTTGTATTTCTAGGTATTTTATTCTCTTTGTTGCAACTGTGAATGGCAGTTCGTTCTTGATTTGACTCTCTTTAAGTCGGTTATTGGTGTATAGGAATGCTTGTGATTTCTGCACATTGATTTTGTATCCCGAGACTTTGCTGAAGTTGCTTATCAGTTTAAGGAGATTTTGGGCTGAGACAATAGGGTCTTCTAAATATACAATCATGTCATCTGCAAATAGAGACAATTTGACTTCCTCCTTTTCTAATTGAATACCCTTTATTTCTTTTCCTTGCCTGATTGCTCTGGCTAGAACTTCCAATACTATGTTGAGTAGGAGTAGTGAGAGAGGGCATCCTTGTCTGGTGCCAGATTTCAAAGGGAATGCTTCCAGATTTTGCCCGTGCAGTATGATATTGCTGTGCATTTGTCATAAATAGCTTTTATTATTTTGAGATACATTCCATCGATACCTAGTTTATTGAGAGTTTTTATCATAAAGGGCTGTTGAATTTTGTCGAAGACCTTCTCTGCCTCTGTTGAGAATAATCGTGGTTTTTGTCTTTGGTTCTGTTTATGTAGTGAATTACATTTATAGACTTGCGTATGTTGAACCAGCCTTGCATCCCCGGGATGAAGCCTACTTGACTGTTATGAATTAGCTTTTTGATGTGATGTTGCAATCAGTTTGCCAGTATTTTATTGAAGATTTTTGCATCTATATTCATCATGGATATTGGCCTGAAGTTTTTTTTTGTTGAGTCTCTGCTGGGTTTTGGTATCAGGATGATGTTGGTCTCATAAAATTATTTGGGAAGGATTCCCTCTTTTTGGATCGTGTGGAATAGTTTCAGAAGGAATTGTACCAGTTCCTCTTTGTATGTCTGGTAGAATTCAGCTGTGAACCCATCTGGACCTGGGCTTTTTTTGGTTGGTAGGCTGTTAATTGCTGCCTCAACTTCAGCCTTTGTTTTTGGTCTATTCAGGGTTTCGACTTCTTCCTGGTTTAGGCTTAGAAGGGTGCAAGAGTCCAGGAATTTTTCCATTTCATCCAGGTTTACTGGTTTATGTGCATAGAGTTGTTTGTAGTAATCTCTTATGGTGGTTTGTATTTCTGTGTAGTCAGTGGTGATATCCCCTTTATCATTTTTATTGCATCTATTTGATTCTTCTCTTTTTTCCTTTTTATTAATCTGGCTAGTGGTCTGTCTATTTTGTTGATTTTTTTCAAAACACCAGCTCCTGAATTTAGTGATTTTTTGAAGAGTTTTTTTGTGTCTCTATCTCCTTCAGTTCTGCTCTGATCTTAGTTATTTCTTGTCCTCTGCTAGCTTTTGAGTTTTTTTTTATCTTGCTCCTCTAGCTCTTTACATGTTGATGATAGGGCTTCGATTTGAGATCTTTCCTTGCTTCTCATGTGGACATTTTCTTTAGGATACATTCCTCAGGATGGAGCTGCATATTTTCAACGTGACTAGACATTGCCAAACTGATTGCACCACTGTGCCTTTCATCAGTGTGAGGCCACAGTACTCCTTGCCCTTTTATTTCCAGCATGTAATATTGTGTGTTTTTACATTTTTTTTTTTTTTTTTTTTGAGATGGAGTTTTGCTCTTGTTACCCAGGCTGGAGTGCAATGGCGCGATCTTGGCTCACCGCAATCTCCGCCTCCTGGGTTCAGGCAATTCTCCTTTCTCAGCCTCCCGAGCAGCTGGGATTACAGGCACGCACCACCGTGCCCAGCTAATTTTTTGTAATTTTAGTAGAGACGGGGTTTCACCATGTTGACCAAGATGGTCTCGATCTGTCGACCTCGTGATCCACCCACCTCGGCCTCCCAAAGGTGTTTTTACATTTTTAACAAGCTGCTTGATGTCAAGTCAGATTTTTTAGAGACCCATACTGTCACTCCAAGGTGGACTGGACATGGATAAGGGATGAGGAAGCCTTCTTTGACGTTATTTTCTCTATGTACAGGAGTATGGGCCAATGACTTGAAATGACACCGGATGTTTTATAAGCATGTTATACATTTTGATGTTAAGTAATCTTAGGAATATCAGTTTTAGGAGTTTGTGTTCATAGAAATAAGGACACACTTTTTATGATAAGGACAATGAAAATGATTTGTTTTAAAAACACTAAAAATGGAATTTAAGCCAAATAGATGATCTACCAACCATTAGAATATCTAATACTGCTTCTCTTAAATCATTCTGATTTAGGAAATTGAAAAACGGACCTTTGAAAATGCTAGGTTTATGATGAGAAATGCCATAAGTCGATGTTTATTCTATGGGTCCTTGATAGTTGGGATTTGGACAGCTCTGTTATTCATATATTTCCGCCATGATCATGTGAGCGACCAGCAGAAGGAAAGCCATGAGCCTCTGTCAGCTTGGTCCCCTGGAAAAAAAGTACATCAGCAAATTATCTATGGCTCAGAGCAAATACCAAAACCACGTGTAATAGTCAAAATCCCTGGTAAAGATAAAGCAAATTCTATGTTGGGTAAGTATTTTGATTTTTTTCTGTTAGCCGTTTTAAGGGGAAAATATACCACAATATTTAATATTTGGAAGAGTATGAGAATATCCTTTTTCAAGCAATTTACTTCTTAAGTAATAAATTATTTTATATATGTATATATTAATATATAGAAAATAATACAAGAAGTATGTATGCATTTACCACTTAACTTTCTCATTTTAAATATAGTTTGCTATGTTTGCTTCAGATAGCTTTCTGCTTTTCCAAGAAATAAGTTCTAATAGTACAGTAAGAACTCTACCTCTGGCCGGGCATGGTGGCTCACACTTGTAATTCCAACAGATGGGAGGCCGAGATGGGCAGATCACGAGGTCAGAAGATCAAGACCACCCTGGCTAACATGGTGAAACCCCATCTCTACTAAAAATACAAAAATTAGCTGGGCGTGGTGGCGCGTGCCTGTAATCCCAGCTACTCAGGAGGCTGAGGCAGGAGAATCGCTTGAACTCAGGAGGTGGAGATTGCAGTGAACTGAGATCGTGCCATTGCACTCCAGCCTGGCAACAGAGTGAGACTCCATCTCAAAAAAAAAAACAAAACTCTACCTCCCTCCCATCTGCACCCTGCCCTCATAGGTTTTCTGATCTGAAGTGATGGATGTCTTTCTCATGCATGTCTCTTCCACTTCCTTTGTATATTATCCCTAAGAAAAATATAGTGTTCTGTATTTTGCTATATTTTTAGATATTCTGATAGACATATCCTTTTGGAACTTGCTTTTTTTTCTCATCACTATGTTCATAAGATTATTTTCCCATGTTCCCACACATGAACACCTAGTTTTGCCAGGCATGGTGGCTCACACATGTAATCTCAACACTTTGGGAGGCCGAGGCAGGAGGATCACTTGAGTCCAGAGTTCAAGACCTGCCTGGGGAACATAGCAAGATCCCAACTCAACAAAAACAATAATAAAACTTTCGAGGTGTGGTGGTGCAGGCCTGTGGTCCCAGCTACTTGGAGAGCTGAGGTGGAAGGATCACTTGAGCCCAGGAAGTCAAGGTTACAGTGAAATATCACTGGGCCACTGCACTCCAGTCTGGGCAACAGAGAGAGATGCTGTATCAAAAAAATAAAAACAGCCAGGAGCAGTGGCTCATGCCTGTAATCCCAGCACTTTGGGAGGCCAAGCAGGCAGATCACGACGTCAGGAGTTCAAGACCAGCCTGGCCAACAAGATGAAACCCCGTCTCTACTAAAAAGACAAAAATTAGCTGGGTGTGGTGGGCGCCTGTAGTCCCAGCTACTCGGGAGGGTAAGGCAGGAAAATTGCTTGAACCCAGGAGGTGGAGATTTCAGTGAGCTGAGATCTCACCACTGCACTCCAGCCTGGGCAACAGTGTGAGACTCCATCTCAAAATAAATAAATTAATTAAATACAAATATAAATACTCAGTTTAACAAAATAAACCCTAAGAAAGATAAAGAAAATAAGAATAGAAATTAAAGCCTTAACATATAGGCCTAAGTTTCTGTGGATCCCTGCTCTGAACAGCCCTCCCATTAGATGACCAGGTAGGTGTTGGCCTGAAACTCTACCTAAGCACTACTCTAGTGTGTGACACACGACAGCCCCTTTGCAGGTCTCCTGCTCATGTCCCCGAGGTCACGCCCTAATTCTGGCTCTCAGTCTTACCACTCGGATGGAGACAGAAGGCAGAGAAACAGCAAACCAAGGATGAGTGCGGGGGACAGTGTTGCTTTCGGGAAGTGAGTAGAGCCTGATTATATGCCAAGTGAAACAAGTATTGGGGTGGCCGAACTGTTCCCCAACGTAGCTGGGCCACTTTCTATGAGCGTATAGAACCCCATTTCCTCTGGATCTTTGCCAATACTTGACACGGTGCAATTTCTCCATTTTAGTTATTCTAATGGATGAGTAAGTTCATCACTTTGGTTTTAATTCGTATTCCCCGATGACTAATGATTTTGAGAACCTTTTTGTGTGTTTAATAACCACTAATATATCTTCTTTTATAAAGTGTCTTATGGAGTCCTTTGTCTATTTCTAAATGGGGGCACTTTTCTGCTTGATTTTAAGAGTTAAATATTCTTAATATTCAAGTTTCTTAATATGTGAGTTGCAAATATGTTGTATAAATCTGTGGCTTGTCTTTTTATTCTCTTTAGCGGTGTTATTCAAAAAGCACAATTTTACATTTTAAAATTTTGGATTTTTTATTTCATAAGTCCCTAACATGTCTCACAACATTCATTTTCATGCTGTTCAATTCACATTTTCCTGTATGATTCATGATTTTTATGTTTCCTCTAGAAACCTTTGCTTACCTCAAGTTCACAAAGATTTCATTCTATGTTTTCTTTTGGAAATGAATTTAAAGTTTCAGATTTCACATTAGGGCCATGATCTATTTCGAGTTAATTGTTGTGACGACGTGAGGTAAAAATCAATGCTCATTTTTTCCATATGGATATTGTAAGAAACAAACTCGCCCATCCAAACTTAAAGAATGAACTCAGAGACCCAGAGAAGAGTGAAAGTGAGACTTTTAATGACAGTGATGCGAGATCGGCTGCTTGGCCCACAGGCGCACCCAGCGCAGTTTCAACAAGCAATTTATCCCCTAGTGCGCAGGCGACTCCCGGCTCCTCATAGACTGAGTGCGGCAGGGTCACAATCCTCCCGGACATCGCCTGTTGATTATTAGGCAGGGACTTCAGTATGTTCTTCAGGGTCTTTCTGCTGCTTTTGTTTGTTTGTTTGTTTGTTTGTTTGTTTGTTTGTTTGTTTTGTTTTGTTTTGTTTTGTTTTTTTGAGACGGAGTTTCGCTCTTGTTACCCAGGCTGGAGTGCAATGGTGCGTTTTCAGCTCACCGCAACCTCCGCCTCCTGGGTTCAGGCAATTCTCCCGCCTCAGCCTCCCGAGTGGCTGGGATTACAGGCACGCGCCACCGTGCCCAGCTAATTTTTGTATCTTTAGTAGAGACGGGGTTTCACCATGTTGACCAGGATGGTCTCGATCTGTTGACCTCGTGATCCACCCGCCTCGGCCTCCCAAAGTGCTGGGATTACAGGCTTGAGCCACCGCGCCTGGCCTTTCTCCTGCATTTTATTGCAGCCCACCATGCACTGCGACCGTCTCAGGATTCTTTAAACATTTGATTTATAGCCCTAGTGGCTGCACTTGGCTGATAAAAAGGGTACTATTATTTATGCTGCAAGCTAGCCTAAACTAAATTCTTTGGTGGGTGGAGAGGGAGTTGTTGAAGGTGCCCTGATGGAGAGACGCCTGGCCGCTGGGTGAAAGGGAAAGCAGGAAGGGGCGGGGTGGGGGTGTGGCTCAGTACATTCGGGCTTCTTTATCTCTCTGTTTATCTATGGAAATAGAGAAATTTATCTCTTTATCTCTCTCTTTCTCTGCTTAAACCTATACTGAGGCACTTAGAATTGAAAATGGACCATCACATGTAGGTTATTTTCTGCAGATATCCAGTTGATCAACACCCCTTGTTGATAAACTCCCCTTTCCCCACTGATATCAGAATATTTACCCCCTCCATGTCTCATGTTGAATTTGGCCCACCGTGTTGAATGTGGAGGCTGGCAGGATGTGTCTGGGTTACGTGGGCAGATCCCTCATGAACGGCCTACAGGAATGAGCCCTGCTTCTGTTAGCTCATGGGAAAGCTGGTCGTTTAAAGAGCCTGCCGTCTCCCCACCCCTTGCTCCCTCTCTTGCCATGTGACTTGCCTGTTTCCCCTTTGCCTCCTGCCAAGACTGGAAGTTGCCTGAGGCTCCCACTAGCAGCAGATGCTGGCTGCATGCTTCTGGCACGAACTGTGAGCCAAATAAATCTCTTTTCCTTATAAATACCCAGCCTCGGGATAGCAATGCAAAATGCCCCCTAACGCCCACCTTTATCAAGAATTATTTCACCATTTTTGCACAGATTGATTTCTGAATTCTATTCTGGTTCTTTTAAAAAATTATTCTAGATCTTTACTTTCCTGCATCGCTGCTAGTAACCCTTTACTTATATGACTCTAATTACCTTTTCTTGCAGGTGTGGATTTTAACCATACAAACCCAGAACTTCATAAAGATTTTTTAAAATACGGATTCAATATAATTATCAGTAGAAGCTTGGGCATCGAGAGAGAAGTGCCAGATACCAGGAATAAAATGTATGTTCTCTCTCTCTCATTTTCTAGATAGACAGATAGGAAACAATTACTAATCAGATTTTAATTTTAGCATACTAGATAGAAATGTTATAATATAGATTCCTATTTTTAGGACTTGAATTCAGATAATATCAAGATTCTATTTCAAGATTCTAATGCTTATAGTATGGAGAATATCTTTTTGATGGGCACAAAATGTGTTCTAGAAGTTTCCAAGAATTGAGTTACTCACAGATCTTTTTTTTTTTTGAGACGGAGTTTCGCTGTTGTTACCCAGACTGGAGTGCAATGGCACAATCTCAGCTCACCGCAACCTCTGCCTTCTGGGTTCAAGCAATTCTCCTGCTCAACCTCCCGAGTAGCTGGGACTACAAGCATGCACCACCATGCCCAGCTAATTTTGTATTTTTAGTAGAGACGGGGTTTCACCTCATTGACCAGGATGGTCTCGATCTCTTGACCCTGTGATCCACCACTCCCGGCCAGATCTTTTTATTAAATCACCAGTAATAGCTTCTGGCCAAAGGGGCATTCATTCCTGATACAAAATGCTCTGCACAGCTGCCTTTTTCCCCCCAAATCTGCTTTTTCCCCCCCCCAAAAAAGTTCCTTCAATCATTGTATTAACAATCATTATGTTCATGATTATTAACCTAATGATTATGTTATGTGATAAAATAAACCTTACATAAAATTTACCATTTTAATCCTTTTTAAATGTACAATGTGGACAGTCACATTGTGCAGCCTTCGATACCATCCTTCTCCAGAACTCTCTCACCATTCCAAACTGAAATTCTGTACCTGATATGATTTGGCTCTGTGTCCCCACCCAAATCTTATCTTGAGTTGTAATCCCCAGGTGTTAAGGGAGGGACCAGGTGGGAGGTGACTGGGTCATGGGAGTGTTTTCCCTCATTCTATTCTCATGATAGTGAGAGAGTTCTCATGAAATCTGATGGTTTTTAAAGTAGCAGTTTCCACTGCACTCTCTCTCACCTGCCACCATGTAAGACGTGCCTTGCTTTCCCTTCACCATCCACCATGATTGTAAGTTTCCTGAGGCCTCCCAGCCATGTGGAACTATGAGCCAATTAAACCTCTTTTGTTTAGAAATTACCCAGTCTCAGGTAGAATCTTTATAGCAGTGTAAAAATAGACTAATACAGAAAACTGGTACTGGGAGTAGGGCACTGCTATAAAGATACCTAAAAATGTGGAAGCAACTTTGGAACTGGGTAACAGGCAGGGGCTGAAACAGTTTGGAGGGCTCAGAAGAAGATAGGAAGATGTGGGAAAGTTTGGAATTTCCTAGAGACTCGTTGAATGGCTTTGGTCAAAATGCTGATAGTGATGTGAACAGTGAAGTCCAGGCTGAGGTGGTCTCAGATGGACATGAGGACCTCGTTGAAAACTGGAGTAAAGGTGACTCTCATTATGCTTTAGCAAAGAGACTGGTGGCATTTTGCCCCTACCCTGGAGATCTATGGAACTTTGAACTTGAGGTTTGGAAAATTTGCAGCTGATCATGCATAGAATAGAAAAACCCAATTTCTGGGGAGAAATTCAAGCCAAATCCAGCTGCAGAAATTTACACAAGTAATGAGGAGCTGAATGTTAATAGCCAAGACAATGAGGAAAATGTCTCAAGGGCATTTTGGAGATCTTCACAACAACTTCTCCCATCACAGGCCCGGAGACCTAGAAGGAAAAATGATTTTGTGGGCCAGGCCCAGGGCCCCACTGCTCTGTGCAGCGTTGGGACAAGGTGCCCTATGTCCCAGCTGTTCCAGCCATGGCTAAAAGGGGCCAAAGTACAACTCAGACTGTGGTTTCAGAGGGTGCAAGCCCCAAGCCTTGGTGGCTTCCATGTGGTATTGGGCCTGTGTGCGCAGAAGACAAGAGTTGAGCTTTGGGAGACTCTACCTAGAATTCAGAGGATATATGGAAACACCTGGGTGTCCAGGCAGAAGCCTGCTGCAGGGGCAGAGTCCTCATGGAGAACCTCTACTAGAGTAATGTGGGGAAGGGAAATGTGGGGATGGAGACCCCACACATAGTCTCCACTGAGGCACTGCCTAGTGGAGCTGTGAGAAGAGGGCCACCATCCTCCAGACCCAGAATGGTAGATCGACCGTGCACTTGGAAAAGCCATAGGCAATCAACACCAGCCCACGAAAACAGCTGTGGAAGATGTACCCTGCAGAGCCATAGAGGCAGAGCTGCCCAAGGTCTTGGGAGCTCACCCTTACATCAGTGTACCCTGGATATGAGACATGGAGTCAGAGGAGATCATTTCAGAGCTTTAGGGTTTAGGGGCCAGGCACCATGGGTCACGCCTGTAATCCCAGCCCTTTGGGAGGCCTTGGTGGGCAGATCATGAGATCAAGAGTTTGAGACTACCTGGCCAGCATTGTGAAACCCCAGCTCTACTAAAAATACAAAATTAGCCAGGCATGGTGGCGCGCACCTGTAGTCCCAGCTTCTCAGGAGGCTGAGGCATGATAATTGCTTAAACCCAGCAAGCCAAGATTGCACCACTGCACTCCAGCCTGGGTGACAGAGCAAGACTCCATCTCAAAAGAAAAGGAAAAAAATTTTAATGACTGCCCCTCTGGGTTTCAGATTTACATGGGGCCTGTGGCCCCTTTGTTTGCCCAATTTTTCCCATTTGGAATGGGAATATTTACCCAATGCCTATACTCCCATTGTATCTTGAAAATAACTAACTTGTTTATAGGCTCATAAAAGGTAGAGACTTTTCTCAGATGAGACTTGGACTTTTGAGTTAATACTGGAATGAGTTAATACTTTGGGGAACTGTTGGGAAGGCATGACTGGTTTTGAAATGTGAAAAGGACATGAGATTTGGGAGGGGCCAGGGGCAGAATTATATGGTTTGGCTCTGTGTCCCCACCCAAATCTCATGTCGAATTGTAATCCCAGGTGTCAAGGGAGGGACCAGGTAGGGGGTGACTGGATCATGGGGGTAGTTTCCCCCATGCTGTTCTCATGATAGTGAGGGACTTCTCATGAGATCTGATGGTGTTTAAAGTGGCAATTTCCCCCGTGCTCTCTCCCCCACCACCGTGTAAAATGTTCCTTGCTTCCCCTTCACCTTCTGCCATGATTGTAAATTTCCTGAGGCTTCCCCAACCATGTGGAACTGTGAGTCAATTAAACCTCTTTTGTTAGAAATTACCCAGTCTCAGGTAGCATCTTTATAGCAGTGTGAAAACCAGCTGATACAATACTCATCAAACAACAACTCTCTGTTTCCCACCCCAACACCCCCTAGAACCACCATTCTACTTTGTGTGTCTATGAATTTGATTACTTTAAGTTCCTAATATAAGTGAATTCATACGGTATTTGTCTTTTTTTTGTGACTGACTTATTTTGCTCAGCATAATGCCCTCAAGGTTCGTCTGTGTTGTAGTGTGTATGTGCTAATGCCTTTTTAGTATCTTTTAGGTTCTGATGGTTTCCAGACCAAAAGGGCTAGTATTCTCCTTTAAATGAGAAATACTTACGTTAAGGAATATCCAGGAAACAGGAGAAAGTGGGGCCGCTTTGCCTTGTTGCAATTTGTGTGCAACACAAACATTTGAAGCTACAAATATCACTTATGCTGTGGCACACTCAAGAGATGTAGGGTTTGTACATGATGACACAATGTATCTGGGTCATGATAAAATAAAAATATAAATTTACTCAAACCATAGAACATGGTATTAATATTAGATAACAGTGTTTCACTGAACTGAATATTTATCTTCTGCAAAGCTCAATACTTAAAAATATCTTTTGAGTTAGGAAATTCTCTCTGTATTATCATTTATTCTCCCTAAATCTCACCTTCTAAAATAGTGTCATTGCTTTTGCTTCCTTTCTGTATCACATGATTACTGTTCAAAAAGCAGAACATTTAGAGAGATTTGTCCAAAAAGAAAAGTGGACTTAGCAGTTTTAATATTCAAAATACAACTTTTACTGGGAAATTCAATTCTGTACAAAGAACCCACTACTACATTTAAAAATCCACTTCTAAGCGTAGCTACCACTGTCTGGAGTCCAACCAGATTTTTAGCCATTATTGTAATAGCCATGTTGTTTCATTAAATGGAATTTTCATTTTAGCTTTGCCTTACTTTCTAAAAAAATGTAATCTGGTCTCCTAAAATGAGTTTGGAAGTGTTTCTTCCTCTTTAAATTTCTGGAAGAGTTTGAAAGGGATTGGAATTCATTCTTCAAGTAAATTTAGCAGTGACGCCATCAGGTCCTGGGGTTTTCTTTGATGAGAGATTTTTATTCTTGATCCAATGCCCTTACTCATTTTACTCTGTTCAGATTTTCAGTTTCTTCACGATTCAGTTTTGATAGGTCGTATGTTTCTGGAGTTTATTCATTTCTTCTAGGTTGTGCGATTTGTTGGCATGTAATTGTTCATAGGAGTCTTTTATTCTCTGTGTTTCTGTGCTGTCAATGATGTCGCCTCTTTCACTTCTGGTCCTGTTTTTGTTTTGTTTTTACTCTTCTCTTGTCTTAGTCTAGCTAAAGGTTTGTCGAATTTGCTTATCCTTTTAAAAACCCGCCTTTTGGCTTGGTTTGTCTTTCTCTCGTTTCCGAATCTCTATGGCATTCATTTCTGCCCTTTGTTGTGTTCTTTCTTTTACTCAATGTGGGCTTAGTCTGCTCATCTTTCTCTTGTTCCAGGTATAACATTAGGTTGTGTATTTGGAAACTTGCTTCTTTTTTGATATAGGTGTTTATTCCTATAATCCCCAAACTTAGTACGGCTTTTGCTGCATCCCATATGTTTTGGTATTTTTTTTCATTTCGATTTGTCAAGATATTTTAAATTTCTATCTTACTGTCTTTTAAAAAATTTCTTCTTTGACCCATTGGTTGTTTAGGAACATGTTGTTTAATTTCCATATATTTGTGAGTTTTCTGAAATTTATCCCATTCTGATTTCTAGTTTCATACCATGTGGTCAG